CAGGGTCAAGACGAGCAGAAAAAAATGGATCTCAAATTTACAAGTCGGGTCATCGTAGCATGATTCTATCGAGCCTCATCAGCAGGTTACAAAAGCCATTACATTTAACCGAAGTAAAATACGCGCAGCATGCGTTTGAATTCACGGACAGATACTATGGACTTCATACAGTCGGGCAGGCCATTCCAGAGTCGGCAGCTGGCTAGAAGCGGTCGGCATGCGCCAGAAGCACTGTGGGCCAGGGGGAGGGGAAGGTTGCGTCCCAATTGACCTCGAGTGGTCATGCCTGTCGGCGGGCCTTGCAATACAATTCGGGACGACAACAGCTCACTGACGATTCCAGAACGGATTCTAAATGTCAGGAGTCGGAGCTTGCATTCTCCTCGTTCCAGCACTGAGCAGACACCCAGCCTGGTGTACAGGGGAAGAGTGTGGGCCAATGGGTGCTCATCGGCCACGCAACGGATACGTTTATCCAGTTTGGCTACTGTGTTCCGCTGCTCAGCGGACAGTCCTGGGAGAAACGCATTCGACGCATATAGAAATAGTAGTGGTGTTGAAGAACTGCACGTTCAGGGTCCGTGACTCTGTTAGACCCTTCTTATTATGTTCATACAGAACTGTCTATACAGTTGAGTCACCGTGTGCATAAGGGTATCTTGCTGCTGGTAAAATTCTAGTCTATTCATTCTTCGACGGACGACAGTACTGCATGTCTGTAGCCTAGTGTAGCGTGTTCCATAAGTAGTTGGTAACTGAGCATCGTGGAAAGCAAAGCAACCCTTACCGTAGCTGATGTGAGCTGGAGTCACGTGCATTCCCATGGTAGATAGCAGCCTGGTTGGAGTCGTGGGACAGCCGATCAGGCGACTAGACTGAGCGCTAGAACTTCAGGGCTTGCGCCGCGGCCATGGCTGACAGCACCTGACAGTCCCAGAGTGAGCTGTACTCGCGGTGCTGAGAGGCGGGCTCACGCCCCTGCATGTCTACTGATGTTGCTCAGTGCAGATCACCTGCTGGTCAGTCCCGGAGTGAGCTGTACTCCCAGTACAGAGAGGCTGGCTCACACCCTGCATGTCTACTGATATTCCTCAGTTGCTATAAACAGTGTAAAAATTCAAGATCCGGAAAACAACTGAACACAATCACCATACCACGAGATAGTAAAAAAATACAATATGCCCTAGAAACTGCGCGGCAGTAATTTACAACAGTAGCTACTGCTGCTGCTACTGCTTATCCACGAACCACTGTGTAAGGTGTAGTGTGAGTTTGAGTTGGCTGTCTAATGTCTGCTGCTGGTCAGTCATGACAGGTGCATTCTGAAAAATGACAAGAGAGACGCCATTGTGGCGCCAGATACTGTCAATGGCCCAAGACATCAGCACTGAAGAGAGGACAAACACCTGGTCACGCACACACACAATGCACTACAGTACACAGTGTTGTAGAGTGTTGTAGTATAGAACAGCACAGTTACAGTAGCAAGGGAAAAACAAACTATTCCCTGTCTCCCATACACTCATACAGTAGAATAGTAGCTGCTGCTGTTGTTCTTGCCAGTGTGTGTACAGTGAAGTGTAGGGGTAGGTATGATTGTACGTACCATACCATTATACGCATGTGCAAGAGAAAATCTCTGAACAGTAAGTGAGTATTGAAAGAGTGTGGCTACAGCTACCTGTAGCTGATCTCTCTAGCTTGCTCTACTAGTAACTGTTGCCTGTTCTAGTGTAGCTATTGATTTTCCAACTGTGCATCTGCAGCATGGGGGCCCTAGCAAGCTCACTTCCTGCTCCAGTGAAGAAATACCATGACCGTCTGTGTGCTGCTTACAGCAATGTGCAGTGCTGCATTGAGGAGACCAATGTAGAGAAAGAACGAATCTTGCAAATGGATGAGCTTTATGCTGATCTCCATGTAGTGTCCAAGCAGAAGTTAAACACTAGGATGCGTGAAGCAGAGAGACTTGGCACCACTGCAGGCAATGAGCAGCTGGCTCATTCATTTGCGTCTGAAGCTAGGAAGCTGCGCAAGATGAAACTTGCCGAAATCCTCACTGTCAAGAAAGCCATGCGAAAACGCATGCGCGGGAACACTTTCCGCACCATTGCTTTCTCATCAGCTGGAGCTGGCAAAACCATGCTCTTCACCAAGAAGGGTCCGTATGAATGGGCAAGAGGGCATATCTGGCCACACATCGCTGTCCTGCGTGCACTGGAGCTGCGCTTGGCAGAAGTGCGCAATATCACAAGCATTGCTGAGCTGCTGGATTTGCAGAATTACGGCATCACAACAGAAGGTGAGCAGGCTAAGGTCATTGATTTTGTTTGCAATCATCCTGAGTCTGTTTGTATCATTCTCGACGGCCTCGACGAGATAAAGCTCGCTGACTGCAGCAAGTTCATGATCGACGTCATCCGTGGCAAAGAATTGCCGGGAATCAACCTGATCATCACGTCACGCCATTCAGCAGAAGCAATGAAGCTGACGCAAAGCCGCGAGATAGTCTTCCATCGTCGTCTGGAACTGCTGGGTTTTGAGAAGCAGGGTTTGGAGCACTACATTCACAATGTCCTGTCTCCAGACGATGCAGCCAAGTTGCTAGCAGAGCTTCGCACCAACCCGCAGCTGGCCACAATGATGCGCACGCCGTTTTTCGCCCATGCAACCTGCAGCCTCTACCGACACAACCATCGTCTGCCAAACACGCCATCTGCAATCTTCAACTCGCTGATCCTTCATATACTGAGCCAGCGGAAATCAAAGCCAGCGCATGATGATGAGCAATACACCGATTGGGACGATGTTCCCGATGACGTCCAGGAAAATCTACACGATCTCTCTCGGTTCGCTTTCAACATGCTCATCCGACGGAAAGTCGTCTTCACCGATGCCGATTTCAAAATGTTTTCACTGTCATCGGCATCTCGCACACTCGGCATGCTCATCGCCTGCGACACGGCATCACCACAGTCCAGGGCTCAGTGGCGTTTCAGCCACCTAGCACTTCAGGAAGCTCTAGCATCTCGCTACATCGCTAGCCACAGTCCGAGTGCAGCTGACGTCGCCTGGCTTGTGCAGCGCCTTGGAGCATTCACAGGCAGCCTCAACATGTTTTGGCGCTTACTGGCCACTGAGCTGGACAGTGAGTCCGTCAATGTGTTGATTGAAGCCATTGGAAATCCGCAGTCCAAATCGTCTACTCAGCCACAGGATACCACTCAGCATTCCACAGGAGCAGAGGGGCACAACGTCACGTGTTTTCTCTTCACAACACAAGACCACATCATGAAATGGGCCGACCACGTTTCGTCCTTTCTCTCCCTGGACGAAGCAGAGCATCTTGCAGAAGAATTGCTGGCTGGCAGGATCGACCTGGCGTCTGCTTCGGAAGTGGTCCGCCGCAAGATTGACCCAGCCGTCACCAAAATCACCTGCCAGGTTTTCGTTCGTTCATTGCTAACCACCTGGACGGATCGCGTCCTGAGTGCCAGTTCACAAATTCTGCACGACTGGCTGGCCAACGAGGCACAAGGATCGGCCATTCGATGCTTCACCGTCACTCCCAAGTGCAGGCTACCTCCAGTTCCTCCATCCGACGAAGCAGCCCAGCCATCCGCAGCCCAGGACAGCGTCAGTGAAGCGGAACGAAAGCAACGAATCCTCTACGCCTTCCGGATCTTCTCGGAGCATGTCAACGCCAAGCAAAGCAGCATCGAAGACATCCCCAGCATGCAAGCCATCATCAAGCAGCACGGAGTAGATTTCGACGGGGTTCCACTGACACCCTCCGACTGCCAGGCCATCAACGCAGTCATTATTCACCACCACCAGTTCATCACCCGCATCGACCTGCAGAACTGTGGTATAGGTGATACCGGGTACGCATGCATGGCTGATGGCATGGCTCTACTACGCAATCTTACGCTCATCAACCTGCAACTGAACAACCTAACAGATCGTCACACGGCCCATATCGCAGCGTGTATCGCATCCAACACGTCAACACTGCGAGAACTCTACACAACCGGGAACCTGTTCAGCAGCAATGCTATGGCCACCGTCCACAGCAACACACACCGCTGTACGCGACTGCTGGCAGTGACTCTTGGAGGTCAAAAGTGCACCGATCCAGCAGTCAACCTTGACGTCATCACCACAGTCTGCAGCAGCTGCCCAGATCTCCAGCTCGTCTATCTCGTTGACTGCGTACTGGATATGGAAGGTCTAACCCAGCTAGCACCATTGTTAGGAGCACTGAGGCTGAGAGGGCTGTGGCTGGTCAAGGTTGGGATGAAGCAGAACTCGGCTACGATCGTCAGTCGAATCATTCAACAGCAACACGAGAGTTTGGAGATCATCGCACTCGGTCGCAATGAGCTAACTGGAGATTTCCTCGAAACCGTTCGTGGTGAGCTGAGTCAGTGCCGACGCCTAGAGCAGCTGTACCTGGACGACGACTGCCTCTCGTCGGGAGCTCTGCCAGTGCTTGCGTCCCTACTGCCCAGTCTGCCCAAGCTCTCCGTGCTCGGAGTGGCGAGGAATGATTTCCGAGATGCTGACGACGAAGCAAAGCTGTTCGCCACCGCTGTCGAGAGCTGCTCGTCTCTGAAGGAGCTGCAGATGCCTGAAAGAGCTCTAGTGTCTCCACGGCTGCGTGAGGCTCTAAGTGCCATGGCCAGAGATGATCTGAAAGTGCAGTATATGCGAGTTCGCTTCTACGACGAAGTGGAGAATGGCGAAGAAGAAGAAGAAGACGAGTACGACGATGAAGGAGATAGCGAAAGTGAGGAATGAGGAGGTGAGAGAATAAACACAGACGGATTTTTGTCCTGATGAAGAAAGCTTCGTGTTTGGTCTATTGCTTCCTCCTAGCATACAATCCGTCTGTGTATGTTCTTTGGAGTGCACGTGCGTATGTGTGTGTGCATTCGTGGTAGCGCTTCTGCGTGTGCGTGCTTGTGTGTGCGTGTATGTGTATATACTTGAGCGTGTAGTTGTGTGTGTGTATGTGTGTTTGTACGTTTGTGTTTCGACTGGACATTCCTTCCTTTTTTCAGTCAATCGGAATATTCACTGCGTTGACCTTTGACCTTTAGACTTTGGACCCTTTTATTGGATGTTTTCCTTTCTTCATTTTTTTTTTCGATTATTGTGGACTGTCGCTGAGAGAATTTACATCATTGAACTATTCGTTTTTGCTGATGTGGTTTTAGTTGATATGTGTGATCATTTCTTTGCATGCACATGTACATATACATTGTATGTGTGTTTGTATGTTTGGAGATTGTTTAGTGAATTTTGTTTAAATGTTTCTTGTATAGAGTGAGTAGAAATGAGAGAATAGAAAGCACAGATGAAAATGATCATTGAGAACTAATATTCATAGCATCATCACCTTGCCACTCACATAGTTCATACTTGTGCATAGTGCAATGTCTTTACTGGTCGCAGGTTTCTTGGCAAGTCTTTGCATCTAGAATACTTTGATAACCGCAATCAATAATACTGGTGTAATTTTTTTGCAATTCAATACTTTCACCTTCTGTGAGATTAGTACTCTATGATGAGAGTTCTTCAAGTACCGGTATCCCTGTGTGTGTGTGTGTATTCGTGTGTGTATGTGTGTGTGTATTTGTATTATGAGCTTGTCTGTCTGTGTGTGTGTGTGTCTGTGTAAGTCTGTGCATTTGTCTGTTCCTATACATGTGTGTATGTGTTCACCCATGTGTCTGTTCGTATGCATGTACGCACACGTGCTTTTCTGCTCACACGATTGAGATTGAGCGTATTCACTCTTACACATGACTTCACATGCCCTTGAGCACACTATCTCAAAACCTAGTGTTCTCAAGGGCATGTATTTTTACTATGATGATAGCCATGTCTGAGTCCACAAGTCTGTAAACTTACCCATTATGTTAGTACACACAAGCTGGAGTGCACACGTTAATAAGAAGATACATCAAAAAGTCAACACACCAATGAGTACAAATGTGAATGAGTGTACATGTGCATGAGAAAGCTAATATGGGAGTGGACAAGTGCGTTTGTGATCATGGGTGGGTGCATTCACTTCGAGGAAGCTTCCATATACATGTAAGAACATGATCCATATAAAAACCGCTCTGTGAGCGGTTCTGAAAAACGTTTACTGGTGCAGCCCCGTCGTAAAACTAATGAAATTAGAACTGGTCCATTATCCCCCCAATGTAAAATGATCCACCTTAATAGGAGAGGACGGGACCCGAACGCACCAGCAGCACGAGGTCGGGAGGGCACAGGATTACAGCAATATCATAGGGTTACATCACCACTACATGTATATATGGATTATTTCAGTTCTTTTTCCGTTCCCTGGCCCACCCCAGCCTCAGCCGTGAGGATAAGCAACACGTTGAACCACTATATGTTTCTCTGGAAACGATTGTAAAGCGGTCGCACCATGGACCACTGTACGTTCCCGTGTAACCGGTCAGTTTTAGTGTGGGCATCGATATGGTCTCCAGCCCCAACTCGGTCCTGTCGCAATGGCACATTGGACTGCGGTGGTCACACAGCCTGCTGTCCGCAAACGCGCTTGGGCAGTGGGTGGCACTGGCACGGCCAACCTGAGCAGCAACTCATGCTGCCCGACTGCACATACACTCACGCACACACGCGTACACCCGATGTCATATGGATGGACACATGAAGACGCCCACCCAAGTATGCAGGATGGTAACTGGGCATTCCCACCAGGGTGGTGTGTGACCATCCCCACTGCCATTGAACACACACAAACACACACACACACACACACACACACACACACACACCCACACCCACACCCACACACACCCTCACCCACACACACACCCACATACACACCCACACCCACCCACACACCCACACCCACACACACACAGGAAAACACTGACACACACATAGAAAGAAACGCGAACCAATGTACGTACGCACAGACACACACACACATAAAGAGGCACACGGACAAACAGAAACACAACAGTACGCATTGTTGTAGAAAGGGGTGCATAAGCGCACACATGCACATTGCGGCAACCGTACGCCGCACCGTGGCCCGAGCATAGCCATTGGCGGACTATGCTCGGCCAATCGTCAAATTATGCTTTTGATTATGCCAACAAATATGCTGAATTATGCTGAATGATGCTCGGTTCCACTATGTATTCACACTGTACATAGAGGATTGAGAAACCACGCATACACACACGGCCATGCCCTAAGCATAATTTTTGTCTAAACCGAAAGATTATGCCGACCTTACATGTTGGAATCCGTATAATGCTGGAGCATAATTTTTTGACGAAATCCCAAGATTATGCCAAATATTATGCCGGCATAATCCGCCAAGGGCTACCCGAGCATGTGCCCACATCTCTGTCGTCAGTGACGGAGCCTGTGAGACCACCCCACACCCCCTCCCCCGCCCACCCCACCCCAACACACACACACAAGGAAACACACAAACGAACGCACATACACACACACATGGAGACGAATTTGCATACGCGCGCACACACACACACACAAACACACACACACACAGATACACACACACACACACACACACACACACACACACACACACACAGGCATGCGCACAGAGGAAAACACACCCGGACTTGTTGTGCAATAGCACTTCAGCAGACTTAATTCAACACATTGCCTTGCGCGGTAAACATTTTTATTCCCATGAATGTTCTTGACGCTGTTGCAATGGTTCAGTGATGGTTGGTGACTGAAACTAAGGCGACCTGGACACGCACGCAGGGAGAACTGAGCCAGAAGAATGCGTGTTTAGGCAACAGACGGAGCTTGTGAAACATTCAGCCATTGCATACCACCGATGCGAGCTTATGGCCCGGACACATCGGGAACTTGACAAGTTGCGGGTTATGGAAAATTATCCTTGGTCTTTCCCCCGCGATCTCGCCACGTACGCGGCCTACCGCTTTGCATTCTCCCGAGATGTCACCATGTAAGCGGCCTGCTTTGTCTTTGCGTGTCCTGGTGCAATTTCTGTCTGTCGCCTTGATGGTTCATAACTGCGCGTCTTCTGGCGAAATCTCGCCATGTACTTGGCCTGCTTTGTCTTTGTATCCATTTCATGTGCGATTCACAAAATCGCAATGCACTAGCAAAGAAACGTGAGTACTGCATGCACTCTACCTACGTGCACAGCTCTACCACAGTACACCATTGATAGATTGGAAAATTTTACACACACCTTAAACGTAATGAAATACATGAGTAGAGAGAGTGAGTGCAATACGCTCTCTATCTGATAACGTGAGCACACGACTGTAGACCATTAAAATTTTGAAAAGTTATACAAAAAACTTTAAACGTAATGAAGTACAGGAATAGAGAGAGTACAATACGCTCTCGACCTGATAACGTGAGTACAAGACACTCTCCACCTGATAACGTGTTAGGGGTCTATTATATGTGCAACTCCAGCCCGGGTTGGAGAAAGCGGACCAGCCCGGGTTGGAGAAAGCGGACCAGCCCGGGTTGGAGAAAGCGGACCAGCCCGGGTTGGAGAAAGCGGACCACCCGGCCCAGAGTGTTTACATGTGCAGAGCCGGGCTGGTCGCTAGCCCGCAGTGAGTTTATATGCGCTGAGCACACACCAGCCCGCAGTGAGTTTATACGCGCTGAGCACACGCCAGCCCGCAGTGAGTTTATATGCGCTGAGCACACGCCAGCCCGCACTGAGTTTATATGCGCTGAGCACACGCCAGCCCGCAGTGAGTTTATACGCGCTGAGCACACGCCAGCCCGCAGTGAGTTTATATGCGCTGAGCACACGCCAGCCCGCAGTGAATTTATATGCGCTGAGCACACGCCAGCCCGCAGTGAGTTTATATGCGCTGAGCACACGCCAGCCCGCACTGAGTTTATATGCGCTGAGCACACGCCAGCCCGCAGTGAGTTTATCTGCGCTGAGCACACGCCAGCCCGCAGTGAGTTTATACGCGCTGAGCACACGCCAGCCCGCAGTGAGTTTATCTGCGCTGAGCACATGTAACCTTGGCCTGAGGTTACAATTACATTCACAGGAGCGTAAACTCCCCAGCCCCCAGCCAGGCACCAGTTCCAACCATGACAAGACGTTGAGATCAAAACTGCAACTCTCAAGTCCAAAACATTCTCTCGAAGCAAAAGGAAAACCAGCATCATAACAGAGCGAGCCAACGAAAAGATACGCATGCGTGTGTGCCTGTGAGTGTGTACAAATGACGTATGCATACATGTCATGAAGTAGAGTCACATTCCTAGCTACAATCAAGAGTGGAAATATTACTACGCCAAACGGAACATGTGCAACATGTTACACCTCCCCCCTCGTTACAGAGGGAACGATAGTGACCGAAAGTTACAAAGCTTAGAGCATATCCGTGATAGCTTTCTACATGAGAAAATTAAATACTGGAAAGTGAAATAGTGTGGCGCAAGTATGGTACAAGTGTAGTTAATCGGTGTGAGGTATAATGGAAAGTTTAGAAACTACTAATGCTATGTAAGTGGACTGTGAAACAGCAAGTGAAATGCTCGACATTATTCATACTAACCTAACAACAGGTAGGACTGTGTGAAATATGTGTATTTCTGAACTAAGAATGTACAATTTCTCAATAATCACACTGTACAGTCATAGACACTCACTGAGCAAACCTTGCTGGCGGCTGAATGTTTGCACGGTTCCGCAGATCATAGTGGTGCACAACAGGCACAGGTGCATGATTCAGTGCTGCGGCTGGTGGCGGCACCGGCGCAGCAGCAATTACTGGTGCAGGTGGCGCCTGCACTGGAGCCGGGATTGGTACTGGTTGCACATTATACTCAACATCAGGCGTATAGTCGGCAATAGAAGTCGGAGGCGAGTTCGGTACGAGCTCATTGGCACTTGCAGGCAGATCAGAGCCAGTCCAAGCCTTCAGACGGTCAACGTGAACAGTCTGGGTCGTGCCGGATTTGTCAGCTATCCGAAGTACTACATCGTCAACACGTTCTAGCACAGTGTACGGGCCTTTCCAAGGTCGATGGAACTTGGAAGTCGTACCTGGTTTGACGGCAGGAGAATGCAACCGAACCATGTCACCAACGTTGAGTTTCGGTTGTTTAGCGTGCTTGTCATAGTGGGCCTTCTGCCGTCGCTGGGCTGTTGCTCCAGCATCACGGGCATGCGAGAACGCTCGTTGTAGATTGCGTCGTAAGTTGATAACATACGTGTTCACATGGGAGCGCTCAGAGTCTGGTGACTGAAACATCACATCAACTGGCAGGTGGATTTCATGACCTAACATGAGCATCGCTGGCGTCTCCTTGGTCGAGGAGTGCACACTAGACCGGTAGGCAAGCAGACAACGTTGCAGATGACGGTCCCAATTGGTGTGGTGGTCGTCGACGTGAGCAGCCAGCATTTGCTCCAGTGTGCGATTCATCCTCTCGACTAAGCCGTCACTCTGGGGCCGGTATGCTGTTGTACGTGACTTTCTGATATCCAACAACTGACAGATCTGCTGGAATAACCTCGACTCAAATTGCGCACCA